TAATCACAAGAATATTCTTTGCGTTTATTGTCATTATATGCTTTTCTGCCACAATTGGTATGAATATAATGAGCACCTGGATCACAAATGCTGCCCATAAATCTTTGCCTCTACTTTATGGCTATCATAGAAAACATCCTAAAATTGCCGTAAAATATAAACTCAAAATAAATGCATTTATTGAGCGACTGTCCGGACCTCCAATTGGTTTCTATTGCTATGACTTGTTTCCTATGAATAACTGGGAATTCTTTCAATTTGTATATGCATCCGGGTTAAATTACGTACTCATTATGAATTTGTTTTAATTATTTAAAAATGTATAATTATTGACATCTATGCCTACGATTGCCAATCTGGTCTGTAAGTGCTAACTAGTGTTGAGACACTTTGACTAATCAATGCATTACTCACAACACTAATTGTTTTAAATTATAAACTTTAGATTTTTTTTCTATAATTATTGAAAAATTAAAAACAAGTGTTGTAATGAATTATCTATCACTACTCAAAGTGTCTCAACACTAGTAGCCCTTTTACAAGTTTAGCTTGGCACTCGTAGGTCTATGACTTGTCTTAAAGATTGACATTATTATTATAATTATTTTATTGAAAATATAAATTGGAAAATAATCTTATTTTATGATTTACTATTTACTCAAAATCATACTTTAAGTCATTTATCTAGTTAGACATTAAGATAATATTATTTTTCAAATGATCGCATGCAAAATATCCATTAAATTATAAATTATATAGCAGAAGTGTCCACGAGGTAAGAATGGGCATTATTACAGTATTTGTAATCATTTTATTAAAAACTACACACAAATATCATAACACATGTGTGAGTAGGGATTATTAATTACTAATAATGCAAGGGATTATAAAAATTGTACAATCATATAACATTCATTAGGATTGCCTCTAAAATTTTTAACTGTCAAAAACATTAATAAATAATGTCTGTCCACGTCTGTTATATAGTATAACTTATTGGACATAATATTATACCATTATAACTGTATAAGTTTTATTATTATAATCTAAAATAAAGTAATATAAAATGTATTAATCAATGATTGTATTATAATAATAAAAGTGACAGCATGCATAATTCATAGTTCAAAATTCATATACTATACAGTACATAGCACCCTACTCATTAACTAGTTTAGCTTTTTAATTAATTGTTTATTAAATTAGTCAAAGTTTTACTGATATTTTTTATGTAATAAATGTTTTATGTTTTGTGCCTTAAATCACAGAAACTGTAACAAAACTTTTCAATTAATCATTTTTTATAAAATGAGCAATCTGAAAAATATTTTTAAACTTACGTGGCTACTACTATATAAGTAATGTTATTTTATTATTTATTAATGGCTAGTTTAGTTAAGAAATTATTTCAAACTATTAAAAAATAAAAGTATAATTGTTGCTGTCTCAGTTCACTGGACTTGTCGTGTAGTCGGTATAAGCATCGAGCCCGTGTGTAGGTGTTGTATAGGACAGGGAGGTTAGGGTTAAAGGGGCTCAAGCGTGGAGTGGACACTGAGTCTTGGACTCTGGTGCGAGCCTTGGGCCTCACGCGAGCTTAGGGACAGGGGTGCAGGTAGGGACAGGAGGACAGGTAGGGAAGGGTCACAGGAGTCGACGGGCGCGGACACGAGAACGGCCAGTGAAGAGCGACTGATTTTGTAGGTCTGGGCGCTGTGGCTGTAGTGATGGGATGTGTATAACAAACACAGTATTCATAACATAAGACATGAGTTTTATTATAGGTTTGGGTGAACTGTGAAATACACGATACAACACGTATTGACACGACTGAGTGTTGGAGACAACTGATAGCGAGCGCACATTTGCATCAAAATATATATCAAAAGCATAGCATAGGTTTTGGTGGGATTGGGAGGGAATGGTATAGCATTACATATAATAGCGGATACAGAGAAAGTTCTGGAGAAAGTATGAACCACTGCACGACATATTGACTTAATTTTGACAATTGTTTTGATGGCCTTCTACATAGACTTAATGTTAGCGCTAATAAAGGTTTATAGTTATTTTCATAAACAGTTGACAATACGAGTGAAATAAGGGGTACAAAGTGTAGTCTACAGGACGTGAATCACAATAGCATTGATTTCTATTTCTAATGGTTTGTAATTTAATTCATAGTATTGCATAAAAGTTTATATATGGACTGCTAGTTGTTGAATAATCCTTAAGAGTATACATTTCAAGCTGTAATCATAGCACTAGCCCATAGAATAACATTGTATTACATTGATTATAGCTTCAAATGTATACTCTTAAGGATAATCAACAACTAGCAGTCCATATGTGTTCAAAGCTCATCAAAATTATTAGTTATTTTAAATTAATTATAAATATTTTCATTGATACAAGTATTTTATACTATTGTATAATTAACTTTAAAATTATTTTCATTACATTCATCTAATATTATAGTAAATAATGAACACATTTTAGGACAAATTAGTCACAAGGATATTTTGCAACATAAATACATTTTATAATTCATAATAATTATATACAGTATATTAAAATATAAATGTTAACCTATCCTGGATCAATTATATTTCTCTGGAATTATATGAAGTATAGTTTATTTTCTATTACTGTTAAGCAAAAGTTAATTGTAAGTAAAAATGACTCATACCCTGCTCATATCTCTAATCAATAAATAGGTTAACTAGTCTTTATTAAAAAAAGCACAACTAATACAAAAATCTATAATTAAACGATACTTGAGCAGGGTGACAAAAAGGCTTATCAACAAAAATAATGAAGTGTTTTGCCCTTAAGCTGACAAAATACTACAATCAGTTAAAGTGTCATTAAAATAGTGTTAAAATGTGTATCGATGATAAAATGAACTTGTTACCTTAATATAACATCTTAAACAAAACAAACTTAAGTTGATAATGTATTATCAGGGCAATTTCTTAATAGTGTATGATTCATCCAATTCAATAGATTGTAAGTGTTATATCACCTTTACTTATCAATTTGAGCCTGGATATTTTTAGTATATAAACTAAAATCGTCTAAGAAGGAATTTCTCGATACGGAAAGTTGGCAATGTTAGTATAATTTGTATGTACAGAAACTTAATCATATGCTTGATAAATATGCAGGGTCAAAAAGTGCGAATTCGGGCAATAAAATGGTCATTTTTGCGGTCAAGAAGTTGGCTGACATGATCATTTTTATATAAATTAACATTATTTGTATAGACGGTATGTATTAAATGTTTAGACAGCACTCAACCGTATAGTATGCCCTTTGTGTCGCAAACTTATCCAGCAAATGTATGCGTATAATGCAGTCATATATACAGTTTATATAGTATTCAAGTACAAATGATCATGTCAGCCAACTCCTTGACCGCAAAATGACCATTTTATCGCCCGAATTCGCACGTTTTGACCATGCATATTTATCAAGTATTTGATTTAGTTTATGTTCATAGAAATTAAACTAGCATGGCAAACTTTCCGTATCGAGAGATTCCTTCTAAAACAATATTCATTAATACAATCAATGTGATTGAAAATAGTTAAAAATAATAAATATATTATTATTACATTAATAACTATACAAAAATGAATGTAACCCTGGTAACTGTATTGGCTACGCTGGTATGCTTTTCTCAAGCGTTTACAACTGGTAGACCCTTTACCCAAGACTATACTGGTGGTGGACAGCCTACAACTGGTAGACCATATACACAAGACTATACTGGTGGTGGACAGCCTACAACTGGTAAACCCTATTCCGAGGACTATCCCACATCATCAGCACATTAATAATATAAATTAGATTTAATTTAAATTTATAAATTATAAATAACTAAAATTATAAGCATTGAGATTTTAACATCGTTAAATAAATAAATTCTAGTCAATAATGTGATATTGTTAACTTGACACATTACTTTAATCAACTAGTGCATATTGAATTTAATATTAATTGAATTGGGTATTATGAAAACAAGGTATTGTATAAGTTATTTCGCATATAAATTATTAGGAAAATTGTACTTATTTTAGAATATTAATGTTTCGATAGTTTTAAATTTTTGAGAAAATTTTAAAATTATTTAATTTCAAACAAACTGTTAAACAATTAAATAAATGTAACATGATGATTAATTTATTTAATTTTTAAATAAAAACAGAATGAATAATTAGAAAACTTATAATTGATAGATTAATTTTTAAAAATCCATTAATTATATTTTTACTTTATTAACTAATTTAAATAAATATAAAATTACCATTTTGCGAATTAACCTATAGTAACCTTGAACATAAATGAAACTATGAATACACAATAGAATCGATTAAGATGGTCATTTAATTTCAAATAACTTAAATTATCCCAAATTTTTATACACTAATAATTTGGTATTAAAACCAGAATAAAATGTTATCTGTGTAAATTATCTACAATTTATAAATAATCTTGCAAACATTTCTGTTGACCAAATCCTTATAGCTATTAATATAAACTAGTAAATACTAATAATATTTAATAGGAAGTTCCTATTAGGAACTATGTCAAACAATTTGATTTAATTTTGATAAAAATTTTCTTGGAAATTATTTTCAAGTATTTATACTTCAAATTAAAGTAAACCCTAGGAATTAGATGATCCCTGATAAAATATCATTAATAACCACCTCCAAGAACCTATGTGGTGATAAAAGTTATCATGATTTATATATAATTAATATTATTAATAAATAACCAAAATTCAACTCGATCACTTAAAAATATACCAATTATAATTGCAACTACAACAAATAACAATAAGTTAAAATTTAACATTTATGTAAAATTAATTAAAATTAAAATGAATTAACTATTTTGTTATTAAATATATCAATTTGATAATTGATCATATACGATTTGATACGAAAATATATTAATTAGTATTGAGCATAACTGCATGATGATTCACAACTTGGCATATCGTAAATGATAATAAAAACTTAAGGTATTCAATCATAACATAATTAGCAACAAGCACAAGTTCTATAAATATATTTTAAGTACTTGTAATAAAAATCATATCATATTAAAGTTTTATAATTAAATTATCAACANGGCATATCGTAAATGATAATAAAAACTTAAGGTATTCAATCATAACATAATTAGCAACAAGCACAAGTTCTATAAATATATTTTAAGTACTTGTAATAAAAATCATATCATATTAAAGTTTTATAATTAAATTATCAACAAATATAATGCACCCTGTTTATAATCTAATTCTGAGGGGATTTCTTAAAATTTTATGACTCACTCGCATAAGTGTAATATAACACCCACTTATCAAGGCAATTTTATTTTGTATATAAACCAGAATCGTTTCAAACAATATTCATTCACACATCAAGTGATTGAAAAATATATTAAGAAATTAATTTAATAGCAAATAGATTCTTAACCATTAATCCATTCACTATGAAAGTAACCCTGGTATTCACTTTGGCGGCACTGTTATATAGTTCGCAAGCATTCATTTTGACGGTTTGTATGAATTTATTTGATTAATAAATATAATTAATTTTAATTAAATTTTTTGAAATATAGGAAAAAATGAACCCAACGTCTGGTACACAATATCCTACTTCCAGAGCTCCAGTGACTGGCGGCTACACCTCTGGTCGACCCCAACCCACAGCAACTGGTGGTTACACCTCTGGTCGACCCCAACCCACAGCATCTGGTGCTCCAGTGACCGGTGGCTACACCTCTGAACGACCCCAACCCACAGCAACTGGTGGCTACACCTCTGGCCGACCCCAACCACATGAATGCTCACGAATAGCCAGTATAAGTAAGTTAAGTGTATAATAATGTGAATCCATAGATTTCATACATGTATCTATTTTTGAGTTAATTTCATTGAATTTATATTTAACATACAACGATACCACGAACCACAAGGTAAACCCACACCATAATATGCCGTATGTTTGTACGAGAAATACTTGCATGGTAATTGATCCAACTATAAGGCTAATAGCAGGTACATTTAGTGTTGGATTCATAAGTATTAGTACCATTCCCGTAATCCATAATACCGTGGTCATAAATAGTGATATTATTATTAATTGATGAAACATATACTTGACCAAAAATCTGACCTTGCTTGTCCATCGGAACATATTGCACTCATTAATTGGATATAAATTTAATTTATATTTAACTAAATATACTGTTGAGTAGGTATATAATGTATGGGTCAGCTCCTGGTATAGACAGACACATCCGATACACAATATGCCCAATGAAAATAAACTGAGTATAGAGTCGGACAGCATCGGGTTAGCTAACTCCAGGGTCCAGTCACTCATAAGGTTATACATCCATGGCTATAAATTATTGGTTTTATGTTAAGAAATATTAATAACATGATTACTTAAATAAATGTACTAATATAATGTATGCATTAATATAATACCTTACTGACGATTACACATAACGCAAATCGTATACAATTAAGCAAGCACATGATTCTGGTAAAAATGATTATCACCAGTCGGTGTTTACTAAACTTTCCTAATTATGTATACATTATCATGAAATAATAGTAATACAGTTGAAATTTCATATAACTTACCCGACACATATTCCTCAGTATCCCTATAGAGTACTACATAATACACACGAAATAGTTTCATAATTCTATCGATACAATCAGTGAAAGTTTTATTTAGTTTATTGCTGTATATTTTAGGCATTATATAATTTGGTCCAGTTTATTTATAATCAATGTAATTTAACAAATACTCAAATTACAACTGAAAAGTTAGATCGTTACTGAGTTTGTAATACAAAAATCATTTATAAAATATAAATATTTAAAAACATTTCATCTAAACAATATAAACCTAAATATAATATATTTAATGATCTTATAAATGTGAATTAAACCAACTGGCAATTTTATTATAATGCAATTATCGACCTATACATTTTAAAATACTCTACAGAATTTTAGCTTATATTGATAAAATCAATATTGTTTACAGTTATAATGGTATTAGGTGAAATATGTCATAATATATAATTTTGTGGAATTTTTAATTTAATTGATAAATTGCATGCGATAATTTTAAAAAATAATATCATATGAATGTCATTATACATAAATGACTTAAATATATTGATCATGATCGAAATATATGATTCTCATTAATTTGTACATTTTACTCATTAATATTAGTACTTTTTGCCTGACATTCATATCACAGTTTCTGTGGACAATGGGACCCTTTTATGGTCCAGGTGCTCAGCACATTTATGCCAACAGTAGTCATAAAACAAATCAATACAATAAGTACACAGAATATTCTGGTATAGAAAGTGGTGTCCCTATGATGTAGAAAGTACATTACTACTATTCATTTACATTTAGAAGTTTTCATAACATAATCTACTTTATGAACTAAGAGTTTTTGCTTAATGCAATAGGTTGTAATAAATAATACTCTACTTGAAAAATTTTTATAATAATTTTATTATTTAAACATAAAACTATAATTAATCAATAAACCAATAATGTACTATTATGTTTTTCTATTATAATGAATCAATAATCCAATAATGTACTGGTACGCTTTTTTAATAAACTCATATTGACTCATATAACATAAAATTATGAATTAAAATAATTTATATGAAAAGTTTGTTATACTTTTATATTTTAGTATTATTTAAATTTTATTTATTATTTTTGTCAAAATTAATATAACAATGTCCGCATTCAATTATAAATACATTTCTATTTATATATTTACGAATAAATACAATAATTATCCTAATACTTACAGTATTGCTAATTTAAATTTGAAACACATTTATCGCTATTAAATGCATCTTGTTTCATTTTCTCAGTCCTCCATATAATGAACATAAGCAATGAAAACACAGTGATACTGACCCCGAGCATAAGCGCCTCAAACAGTATAAACATGTCGGAAAAGGATTTAATATACAGTCCGATGAGATATGGGGGCAGTATATTGAAGGACGACATGAATACTATGAGTACCGTTCCCACCATATCAGTCATACGGATGTGTTGGCCCACGAATGCGAATATGGACTGTATTATAGCCGATATGCCGATCCCCATCATCACATTGGCCACGTATAGCATGGTCATATTACTGCGACCAAACACCAGGCATACGATACCTAAACAGAATATTCTTGATTAATTGTAATAGTTAAAAATATAGAATTAATCTTGTAAATGTCATAAAAATAAATTATTTTTTTAAAGTTTGGCGCTACATTTTTAAAAATAAATTTTTATATTTTTTAAATAATTAAAAATTAATTATTAGCATAAGTGTTATCAGGGTCGTACCTATTACACAGACTATATGGTGGATAATAAGCATGTATTTCGAGGACAGTTTAATGGCCACAAAAATGCTGAGCCCTCTGAACACCGTGTAGGGTGTGGTGAACGCCGTGATCACATCCATGGCCTTTGTGGCGCTGACCTTAAGGGGACAGTATTGAAAGTACGTGGATGCAAACGTGTAGTACGAGGCCTCAACCAAATTAAAACTGCCTACAAATACACCACCTAATAGTATGGCCGGCCAACGATATTTAGGATATTTGTCAAATAATTTCCACTGGTCACCAGGGTCATTGTCTATGTCGGTGTATGACTCCCGGTGCTTCTCAGTGTGATCGTCTAGTTTAGGATCTAATGTGTTGTCATTTTGAGTATCACTTGAGTTTCGGTAGCGTTTGATAACATACATAATGATTAGTAGTATAGGAACTGTAATCAAGTATTAAATGTAATTAAAATCTAAAATTAATTTAATAATAATTATTATAACCCTTATAACCTAATGAGTAAAATAATTAATTAGTTAAATTGCTGCGCATTACATATAAAATATTAATTAACTTTTAATTATACTAGTTAATGAAATATTTTTACTTTACAAATACTAGAAGTATAAATTATGCATGCATAAATTAAATCTCAATTATAATGATAAGCTTTTAAATACTTACAAATCATTTGAATGATTCCCAGTATAAGGAAAGGTGTCTTTAATAGTGAGCGCCTGTGCTCCTCATAGTCTTCATTGTAGGCATAGGTTACCGAATCAGGTGTCGACACCGTAATACCCGGGCCAGTGGTGGTGGTGTCTGAATCACCCGAGTATTTATCCCTTAAAAAGGGTTTCAGTAGTAGGGGTGACACGATAGTCCCCAACCCAAAGGTCAGCCCCGGTATCTGTAGTACGGGTGCACTCTTCTGGAGCCACATCTCTATGATCCATACGTTCACCACACAGTTGATGATACCGGAGCCCATGCCCAGCCCTATGGCGCACGTGTACAGTATGTATAGATTAGGGGAATGGGGTATAAATGCTGTGCCGATCGCCATAATCACCAAAAATACAGCCAATATTAGCTGTCTGTTCAGGTATTTGATGAGAAACCCGCCTAAAAATAGTGATAAATACGTGTTAATTGTTTTTCCAAGGGATATGGGTTGTTTTGTGGGACAGGTATGTTACACAGGGATCCGATTAAAAATCCGGTTGAAGTGAATGTGGAAAACATTGTCATGTATTGAGTGGTTGTCTGCAATATGTCGACCATTTCGGTCAATACGGAACCGATTGCTGTAAAACACATCGCCTTTTCATATGACATAAAAATATTTACATTTTTATTTAATAATTTATGTATAATGACATTTAAATTTTACTAGGTTATCTAAATTTTATTATGTACTAGGTTACATAATATATGTTTAATAATAATCGTTGTTTTCTACTTACAAATGACATGTGATTTAGACATGTTATAACGGTATAAGCGTATTTATCCCAGTCTTTTAACATGGTAATTTATTTAAATTAAACTTTAAAACTTTTCGTTTGTAATTTATATTTTAATAATCATTAGATTTATAAATAATTGGATTTTAACCTGAACGCACTAAATCCACACTATTAGTAAACGTACGTGATAGTATTTAATCAGGGTTTAAATGTTATTTAATTAAAGGTAGTTATTACTAATAAAAAAGTAATTTACTTTTATCGATAACTAAAATTTATAGACATTCAATGTCTAGATATAATGATCAGGGAAATAAAACTCCAAAATATAAAAACAATTATTTTAGTTAATATCTTTGGATAATTATCAATATTTGATTACAGGTTAAAATATAATATTGACCAGTGATGCCACTTGTAATAGTTATACAATTTTTTTTAACAAATGAATGTTAACACAGATCACAAATGTATTTAGTAAGTTTGAATACCTACTGAACCCCCTGTCCATGATCTCAATAGATAATTCACAATAAAAAATGTTGAATTTAATTGAAATGCTTTTATATGCCACTTGAAAGTGTATCAATAAGTACTGTTTGTCTAAAATCTTATATTGATAATTGTATTTTAGTTATTATCTAAAATTATTGTATTATATAATTACTATAATTGAAATGCTACTGTTTATAATTGAATGTTATTTAATAAGCAAATTCTTTAAAGTTAGATAATGTCATTTTTTGTATAAAATTACTTTTACTAGCATGTGAAATAACTTTTAATACCGGTGTAATTTTTATTTATATTTCCCAATCTAAATATTTATATTAAAGATCTCTAACTTTGATTATTATAACATTTTTTGAGAGAAAAACTTAATTATTGGCAAATAGTTTGTGTCTATTTTAGTGTTTTATTTTATACTATACTAGCATTTAGTAGTCGCTTATCAAATGATTTACACAATAAATACCACTTTAAGAGCATATAGTATAGCACTGGTAGTGAAGTTCAAAGTTATGTTATTATATAATAACTTTATAGCTGAATAAGTATTTAGGTGTTATTGCTACTGAATTCTTTAGGATACAGGTGCTCAAGTATTTGTTCAAACACTTGATTTATTACTTAAGTACACTTACTTATTAGGGCAGGTAGCACTTTGCTAGATGATATAGAGTGGACTCTTATTTGAATGGTACATTTTATAATTGTACCTTTTACAAATATATCTAAATGTATTAAATAAAATCGTTTTAAAATTTGTAAGAATTTTTATTTTTAATGTTAATAATTAGTATAAAAAATTGTGGATTAATGCAAATATAAATAGCAAATGATTACAAAAAATATGAATGATAACAATGGCTCTAATAAGATTAGTTAATATAAAGGTTTGTTCAGATTATTTTGTATTAATTATACAAATTGATTAAATATTCTAGCTAGTTATAGAATTATTTAATTATTCAAATATTTAAAATTATATTATGCAAACACATGGTTACATTTTCACCGTATATCACACCATTAGTTATCATCACCAGGGCATTTATGATTATGAAATGTTCATGTCAAGTGATACAACTTGTTATATAACCTTTTTGCCAAATAAATAGAAATACTTGTCACCGGTATCAAAAATTTATAACTTATTATTGTTAAAAAATATTTTTTCTTAAGAAATGCACCAGGATTACTAAGAAAGTATTGCACAAGTATCATGCAAATATCACCACTAGATAATTGCATTGTTAATTAATAAAATCACCTAAATCACTATAATCCTATAATACCCCGTGAATTTACCGTAAAAACGGCATAAACCTAATCTTTTGTCATTAACTGTATATCCGATTTAGGATCCGTTAATACTAATACAGTTCCGCTTATAAATAATAATGCGGTTAGAAATAGTGATATGACTATTAATTGATTTAGAAAATATTTAGCCAGTACATATGATTTGGCGCTTAACTTTTTCATATTAATAGCATTGATTGGGTATAAATTGAATTTATATTTAATGAGATATATTTGTGAATAGAGTGGAAAGGTATGCGTCAGCTCCTGGTATATACAGACACATCCGATACACAATATTCCCAATGAAAAGCTACTGATTATGGCATCGGTTAGTACCGGATTAGCCAACTCTACGGTCCAATCACAGGTCATGTCATATACCCAACGCTATTTTTATTATAGTTATTAGCAAGGTAAATTCGATAGGATGAGTAAATATTATTTTTACCTCATGAATTACTGTGCATAAAGCAAATCGGATAAAATTAAGCAAGCAAATAATTCTGGTAATTATAGCTATAACAAGGCGTTTCATACTCAAATATCCTGGTTGATAAAAATTTGTTAATTACTAAATAAGTTAATTTAATAATGCTACTTACCGGAAACATATTCGTCGTAGTTTCTGTAGATTACAACATAATATAACCTTGCTGTTTTCACTACTTCATCGTAACAGTCAACAAATGACTTATTTAATGTTTTTGTTTGATTATATCTTTTAGATAGAAACTTTTTATCCATTATATTTAATATAGATATAGTATCATTATTTATAAATACAGTCGTGCTATTGCGGAGAGTAGTATTTATTTTATTTCAAAACAAAGTACAAGGTGTATATGAAAATAATGAAATATTTATACAATATTAAAATACATAAGAAAATTGATTATATTTTACAAATAAGTATTTTGAAAGGTTTTCTTTAAGAAAATTTTGTCTTAAATCTGTTAACATTTGTTTATAAAGAGAGAAAGACCTTTCAACTGAACAAGAGGTTAAAGCAGAATTTTTAAATATTGGTAGGAAATTAGTGTCAGAATAGTTAACAAAATAGTTTATATCTGGATTTTTACCTAAAGATTTTTTAAGTTTTTCTCCAGCATAAGTACCTTTTATGTTATTTATAACATTATTTAAAATAGTTATTTGTTGAGGAACTGTAAGATTACCTTCGAGTTTTTTAATAGAATCAGTTAAAATATCATATTTTGAAAGGTTTTCTATTTCAGATTTAAGGGCTTGGTTTTGAATGAGTACTTTAAGAGCAGGAATAGTTTTACCCTTACTGTTTGAAATGGAATTAATATATTTACAAATTATACTAAAATTTTTTGCATAATAATAAGATGCATTCAACCAACTGCCCCACCGAGTGATGACTGGTGTGGGCAGCAAAGGAACTTCACATTTAACAAATTCACGAAATTCCTGTCTTCTCTTTGGGGAATTTGTAAATATTTTTTTCATTTTTGAAATGAAACTATCGGCCAATTCATTATTGCTTCTGATTGTCTCACAAACTCTATGCAATGCATGTGCCAAACAAGTGACGTGTTTTATGTGCGGAAATTGTTTTTGTGCTAATAATTCAATAGCAGCTAAATTGGCTGGTATATGGCATCGGTTAGTACCGGATTAGCCAACTCTACGGTCCAATCACAGGTCATGTCATATACCCAACGCTATTTTTATTATAGTTATTAGCAAGGTAAATTCGATAGGATGAGTAAATATTATTTTAACCTCATGAATTTCTGTGCATAAAGCAAATCGGATAAAATTAAGCAGGCAAATAATTCTGGTAATTATAGCTATAACAAGGCGTTTCATACTCAAATATCCTGGTTGATAAAAATTTGGTAATTATTAAATAAGTTAATTTAATAATGCTACTTACCGGAAACATATTCGTCGTAGTTTCTGTAGATTACAACATAATATAACCTTGCTGTTTTCACTACTTCATCGTAACAGTCAACAAATGTTTTATTTAAGGTTTTTGTTTGTTTATATTTTTTAGGTAGAAACTTGTTAACCATTATAATTAATATAGATATAGTATCATTATTTATAAATATTAATAGTATTATATATAATAAATAAAATTTAATTATTCAACAATTGTAGTAGACTACTTAAATTTATACTGTTTGAACTAAGGAATAAACTATTTATTCATTAATTCAAAAATTAAATATATTATTTTTAAGATTTTACAATCCTTAAGATTGTATAAAACTAATAAATATTTGTAAATGACTATTAAATAAATAATTGATTAATTGTTTGTTATTTAAAATAAGTTTTAATAAAATAATCTCCTGTATGAACTAAGAGTTTTTGCCTAGTGCAATAAGTTGTAATAAATAATACTGTACTTATATATTTTTAAAAAATAAGTTCATTATTTAAACATAAAACTATAATTAATCAATAAACCAATAATGTACTGGTACGCTTTTTTTTATTAAACTCATATTGACTCGTATAAAATAAAATTATGAATTAAAATAATTTATATAAGAAATATGTTATACTTTAATATTTTAGTATTATTTTTATATTTTTATTATGATTGTCAAAAATTAATATAGCAATGCTAGCATTAAATTATAAATACATTTTTATTTTTATATTTACGAATAAATAAAATAATTATCCTAATACTTACAGTATTTCTAATTTAAATTTGAAACACACTTATCGCTATTAAACGCATCTAGTTTCATTTTCTCGGTCCTCCATATAATGAACATAAGCAATGAAAGCAAAGCGATACTGACCCCGAGCATAAGGGCCTCAAACAGTATAAACATGTCGGAAAAGGATTTAATATACAGTCCGATGAGATATGGGGGCAGTATATTGAATGACGACATGAATACTATGGGTACCGTTCCCACCATATTAGTCATACGGATGTGTTGGCCCACGAATGCGAATATGGAATGCATTATAGCCGATAAGCCGATCCCCATCACCACATTGGCCACGTATAGCATGGTCATATTACTGCGACCAAACACCAGGCATATGATACCTAAACATAATATTCTTGATTAATTGTAATAGGTACAAATATAGAATTAATTTTATATAAGTGCCATAAAATAAATTAATTTTAAATGTTTGGCGCTTGTTACATTTTTAAAATAAATATTCTATAACGTAATTTTTTAAAATAATTAAAAATTAATTATTAGCATAAGTGTTATCAGGGTCGTACCTATTACACAGACTAGATGGTGGATAATAAGCATGTATTTCGAGGACAGTTTAATGGCCACAAAAATGCTGAGCCCTCTGAACACCGTGTAGGGTGTGGTGAACGTCGTGATCACATCCATGGCCTTTGTGGCACTGACCTTAAGGGGACAGTATTGAAAGTAGGTGGATGCAAATGTGAAGTACGAGGCCTCAACCAAATTAAAACTGCCTACAAATACACCACTTATAAGTATGGCCGGCCATCGATATTTAGGGTATTTGTCGAATAACTTCGACTGATCACCAGGGTCATTGCATATGTCAGTGTTGGTGACCGACTCCCGGTGCTTGCCGGGGTGATTGTCTAGTGTCTGATCTGATGTTTTGTCATTTTGAGTATCACTTGGGTTTCGGTAGCGTTTGATGACATACATAATGATTAGTAGTATAGGAACTGTAATCAAGACTCCCGGTGCTTGCCGGGGTGATTGTCTAGTGTCTGATCTGATGTTTTGTCATTTTGAGTATCACTTGGGTTTCGGTAGCGTTTGATGACATACATAATGATTAGTAGTATAGGAACTGTAATCAAGTATTAAATGTAATTAAAATCTAAAATTAAGTTTATGTTAAATAAATTTGGACCACGCCACAATACTTTTTATTATTTAATAAATATAAAATAATTAATTAATTAAATTATTGTGCATTACAGATAAAATATTGATTAACTTTTAATTTCATTAGCTAATTAAATATTTTTATTTTACAACAAGTACAAATATAATAAATTATATGCGTGCATAAATTAATTCTTAAGTATAAAATCATATTATTATAATT